GAACTCACGACCTTGCGCTTGCCAGGCAGGCGCTTTTGCCGCTGAGCTAAATCCCCAGCCCCGCAATTTACCTTCTTTCTTTCCTTCTTTCATCCATCCTTTTATCCAGAGCTGCATAAATAGCATCTGCTTCCTCATCATCTTTTTCATAGGGTCCACTTGAGAAGAGGCTCCCAGCATAACCATTAAACTACGAATAAAATACATTTAAAGTGTTAGCTTTCCCTCCAGCACAAACAGAACACGTCCAGTTGTAAATTATTTACTAATTATGTTTTCCATTAGGCAAATCCTAACAAGGCCATTCTTCAGCAACTGATCAATATTCTTCAAGTGCCAAGGGCATGAAAGACAAGAGGCATTAGCCAGGCATGGTACTGCACACCTGTAATCCCAGCATTCAGGAGGCTGAGGCAGGAGTATCACCACACATTCAAGCATCCTGGGCTACACAGGGACTTCAAGACCAGACCAGGGCCAGAGATTTAGCTCAGTGGCACAGTGCCTGCCTGGCAAGTACAAGGTCTTGAGTTCGACTCCCAGTACATTTAAAAAAAAAAAAAAAAACAAAACAAAACCAGTCCAAACTACACAGTTTCAAAAAGGGGAGTGGGCCAGGTGTGGTGGCGCACGCCTGTAACCCCAGTACTTGGGAGGCTGAGGGATGAGGATTGCTGTGAGTTCAAGGCCAGCCTAGGTTACAAAGTGAGTTTTGAAGGCCAGCCTGAACTGCACAGCAAGACCCTCTCAAAAAGACCAAAAAAAAAAAAAAAAGAAGGGGGTGGGGTACTAGGGATACAATTCAGTGTGAAGGGCCTCAAGTTCAATCCCAAGTACCAAAAAATATAAATAAAATTATTTTTCCTCAGAGGAAAGACATCATCTGTTAGGAGACAGCTACAGAAAACTTTGTCTAACTAAACCAATAAACCAGGAAGGCAAACACCAAAGCAAGCATTAGCACCATCAGAGGCCAACCAACACAAAACTCCAATGTGGCACCCCACACTGCAAGTACAACTCTCTTGAGGAAAATAAAAAAGTGCTCATATCTTTAGAGTTTTACTGCTCCCCTCACATACTGCTAAAGATGGTCCCTGAGTCTAAGCCTTTCTGGAGACTGGTGGGAGTATCCACAGAAGCCCCCCAAATTCACCTCATCATAGTTGGTGTCATTCAGATCCTCGTCGTCATCATCAGCAGCCTGGTTTTTCTTCATCTGGTCCCCCACGGTTCTCTTCCCTGGTGGCGCGTGGCGATCATCCACAGGGTCATTTGCATCGCGGGCAGGCCCAATGTCTGAGCGAGTGGTGAAGCCAGTGGCACTGTAGGCCGCAAGACACCTATCACCTGGGTGGCCCTGCTTCCTGTGTGCTCTCCTCCACCCCAGTCATAATCTCTCTTTCTAATACCTTTAGGAACCTAAGCTGGGGATATAGCTCAGTGGCACAAGCACCTGCCTGGCAAACACAAGGTCCTGAGTTCAATTCCCGGTACCAAAAAAAAAAAAGAAGTGGATCCTAAAAAGACACGCTGGTAGCAGCAGATTGTGCTCTACTATTGGTTATGTCTGCCTGCCTAAATGTTTGAACCTATCCTCACCGATTACCAGACAATCTCCCACACCAAGGCTTTTCCACTTCTCTACATGACAACCCAAGCCTTTAGACTTCTCTCCTCCCAAGTTCCAGCCCCACATTTCCAACAACCTGCTGAGCCTCTCCCTCCACATTCAACCAGGCCCAAACTGAGCTCCTCTTCTAGTACATTCTGCATTTTCTTTGAGCTGTTCTAGCTGTTAAAAGCAGTGCCATCCCAGGCACCAAGCAAACATCATCACAAATTTTTACCTCCTTCTCCAGCCTTCTCTATACTGTCTGCCCCAAAGTACTACCGATTCCACTTTCAGATGTCGCCATAAAGACCCATGACTTTCACCATGGCTCATAATGAGTCAACCCTTTCTACCTCCAGTCCTCCCTACTTCAACTCTGCTCTGCCAGATGACCCTTCCAGAAACACATCACTGACTCTCCAAAGCCTACAGGAGCTTGACCTGATGCTCAAGACCCCTCTGACAACTCATGGCTCCCTTCTCACTTGCTGTACATTCCATTACTCTGGACTTCTTGCTGCTTCCTGGTCTCCCCTTAAATCACATCTTTTTACTACCTGCACACAAAATGTCAAATCTCTCCTGTATTCTTGCCACATCTGGCATCTTCAAAAACCACCTCTCTTTCCAAACGTGGCTCTAATGCTGCACTCCACTGAGAACTCCCCGACTTCTGAAACTCCAATGTTCTAAATCTGTCCCTCTGCTTGTATATGGCTTACACAGGCACAGAACCTCTTCTAGTAAACTAGAGATTCTCTGAAAATGGGGAAACACCTGAATCTTGCGTGTTCCCTGCAGTTTCTAATACCACCAATCAAAGGGATAACCAAGGAGGATGATGACTACCCATTTTTCCAACAACTTTTGGTGGTCATCTATGTAAAAAACTTGGAGCACCCAAGCACCAGCCTCCCAGACAGAAGCAGAGGAGGGCTGAGAATTTGAACAGGAAGCCTCTGGCGACAACGTGACAATACTACAAAGAAAGATTGCACACCTGCAATCCCATGACTCTAGAGGCTGAGGCAGGAGAACTGGTGCAAGTTCGAGGCCACACTGGGTTACACAGCGACTTCAAGACCAGTCTGAACTAAACAGCAAGGCCCTCTCTCAAAAAAGCCAAAATAAATACTACAGAGAAAAGAACAGTCATGCTTCAAACAAAGGGAGAGTCATGTGTTGCTACTACACAAGAGGGGCTCTTCTGATGCTCACAGAACATCCGCATATGGGTTTTACCCATTTTAGACACCAAAACGCTGGACTCGGAGCCCACATCACATCTCCTAGGTGACAGGCAGGACTCATAGTCTGATCTGTTTTGACTGCAAAGACTGTGTCCGACAAGGGTGCAGCCGACCTTCCGGGTCTTCCAGACTACGAGGCCATGGACTCTGGTTCCTTCTGGTCCTTGTCTTCCCGTCCTGTCGCGTCCAGCAGCTGGCGCCGCCTAGCTCCAGGGCAGACCAGACAGAGCCGCGGGCGGGAAGACGCAGAGCCAAAGAGCGCTGCCCCTCGCTCGGCCCGCCCTCCATCCCGATGCCCCCGCCGCCTCCAGGGAGCCCCGCCGCCCGCACTGCCCTTGCCCCAGGCCTCACCCGCGGCCCAGCCCCGGCACATAGCCAAGCGGCGCGGGCATGCCCAGGAACGGCTTCTTCTTCTTGTTCATCGCGGCGGTGACGACCGAGACAGACGAGGGCCGGGAAGCCGAGGCGCAGCGCGGAGAGCAGGCGTCTTCGCCGACGTAGCTCAGGAGGCGTCGCGGCCTTCGCGTCACGGGCGCCCCGGAAACAAACCTCGGCCGCGCGGAGCCCCGCCCTCCCCGACGCCGCGGCGGAAGTTCGGGTTGCGGCGCTTCCGATCCCTTCCGCCGCGGCTGCGAGGAAAGCTGCTGGAGGATAAGCACTGTAGCGCCGACCTGTGGCGAGGCGGGCGGTGCCAGCGGGTCTGAGGGGTCACGGGCTGAGACGCCCTGACAAACCTACGGGCCCCAGCCTGGACCTGGTGTGGCTGCTCCGGAGCGCTCCCACGCACCAGAGGTCTGTGCACACGTGCCGGGGCCGTCCTCGGGGCAGCTCAGCGGGTACTGCGCGCTGGTGCATGCCCGCGGCTGGCCTCGCCTCTTCCGATCTGTCAGGCTGTGCGAGCCCGTACTCGGGGTCGGCCGGCCAGTCTGCGCGGGAACGCTGTAGGGACGCCGCCCGTCTCCGGCGCTGTAAACAAGTGAATGCAGCACTGGCGTGCGTGTGCCGGCGTCCCAAACGTGTGACTGCTGTGTACACACTGGGGCGTGTGCTTGCGACCTGGGCGGGCGCGTACCACTGCACTCTGCGTGCATTTCTGCAAGTCCATGTACAACAGTGCTCCTGCTTCTGGACACCGCCAACCCCGCTCTACACCTGGGGAGAGGGGCTGGGGGCAGAGCAGGCGGCAGTTGGTTCATTTGGCTGGGCGAGGCAACCGCGCTTCACTTCTCGCTGAGGTCCTGTAGCAAACACCTCGGTCCTACCTGCTACAGCTTTGGAGTTTTCTCCCCATCCTCACCCAAGCCCCTTTCCTGTCTTAGCATCGAGCCCCGCCCCCAGCACTGAGCCAGATTCAGAGGCTACGTAGGGCGGGGGGGGGGCGCCCCTGGGGAGCGCAGGGCGCTATGGAAGGTGAGCTAGGGCCAAGCTGACTTCTCGGGGCAAGCAGGAGCCCATCCGCAGAAGAGACCCGAGAGGACTGGAGAATGTCCCCTACGGAATGAAAGCGTGAATTCGCTATGCAGGAGAGCAGAGTGCAGTGTTTGGGAAGGGATGGTCTGGGTGGGTAGAAGGCCCCAAGGGTAGGTAGGGTGCTCCGGCCCACCCCAACACGGAGAAGATCGACAGCTTCTTGCTTGCCCTCCTCGGCCGGCCTTCCGCAGGTGCACGGAGCCTGGCGGCGGAGCTGTGCCCAGGGCGCACTGCCACCTCATACCTCTCCGCACGCGCAGCCCCGCGCGCCACCGCTGCTCCTGGAGCTCCCGGAGCGCGCTCAGCGCGCAGGGCTCGGCGGCAGGTGCCTCGCCGCGCAGACTCGGCGGGCCG